AGAGGATGGAGATGGATGGCAGGAGAGAGATCACTTGATCATTGCCTGTTAGGTTCACTCCCTCTGGGGCACCTGGCATTGGCCACTGTCGGTAGACAGGATACTGGGATAGGTGGGACTTTGGTCTGACCCGCTACGGCCTTTCTTATGTTCTTATAAATTCATGGAGGATAGGTCCATCAATGGCTATTAGCAGGATGGGCAGGGGTGGTGTCCCTAGCCTCTGTTTGCCAGAAGCTGGGAATGGGCAACAGAGAATGGATCACTCAATGATTACCTGTTGTGTTCATTCCCTCTGAGCACCTGGCATTGGCCACTGTCGGTAGACAGGATACTGGGGCAGATGGGCCTTGGGTCTGACCCGGTACGGCCTTTCTTATGTTCTTATAAATTCATGGAGGATAGGTCCATCAATGGCTATTAGCAGGATGGGCAGGGGTGGTGTCTCTAGCCTCTGTTTGCCAGAAGCTGGGAATGGGCAACAGAGAATGGATCACTCAATGATTACCTGTTGTGTTCATTCCCTCTGAGCACCTGGCATTGGCCACTGTCAGAAGACATGATACTGGGCTAGATGGACCTTTGGTCTGACCCAGTACGGCCATTCTTATGTTCTTATGTACACAGCATGTTGAGGAACCCACAGCACTGAGACTGGCTGCCTTGCCACCTTGGGCAGGTCACGCCACCTCTCTGAGCCTGGGAGCACTGCAGACAGACTTGCTTACCGGGGGAGTTCAGAGGGGGAACTCAGGGCCTCTAAAGCACTATGTGATGCTCACATTAAAGGTGGTCCAGGGCCGGCCACGCAAATATCTGCAAATTACAGGCCCCAAGTTCCCAGGTCAGTGGGAAAATGCTCACACAATTGCTGTGGGTGCACACACAAATCAGGCTACTGTGCATGCAAAGGCCTCACCATCTGCATGTCCATCTGCTCCAGCTCCTTGTGCCTGGGTCAGTGCACAGCCCTGTGCACATTTCTGTCTTTTAAGGGCATCTGTGTCCCTGCCATTGGGAGGGGCACACCAGCACCAACCAACCAACTACCCACGGGATACCCAGTGGAGTCCTCATTCTCCTGAGGCCTCACCAGCCCCAGGAACACACCACCACCCAGAACACATTTCATGCCAGCTGGGAGGAGCCGACTTCATTGGTATTAAACAATCATAAAGGTAAAATTACAAAGAACAAAGCTATATTGGTTGCTGCTGACATGTACCCTGACAGCAGGGGGAGCAGTGACCCATCAGCCCATGGGAGTGGTGAGCCCATTACTCCTGGGGGAATTCTGCACCACTGTGACCATGCAGAATTTATGTTCCCTGCAGATTTTTTTTCCCTCACAGAAAACATATTCTATCAGGGAGGCACTGCAATTACACCTTTCACCCACCAGGGGCTGCTGTGGCACCAGAAAAGAGGGCAGCTAACTCAGGGCCAGAGCAGCCAGCTGCAGTGGAGAGGGAGGGGGAAGACTGCCTTCCTCACAGCATCCTGCCTGCGGGGCCAGGTGAGGAGGAATGGGATATGGGGGGGCAGCCACAGCAGGACACATGGGGCTGCTGGGGGGTCATACAGACTGGGGTTCAGAAGGGCTAGTGGGGGGCATAGACTGGGGTGGGGCACAGGAGCTAGTGGGGTGATAGCATTGAGCCAGGGGCTGATGGGAGTGGGGGTGCAGGGTTATGTGGGGATGGGGGGAGGAGCGGTGACTGAGTGAGGGTGCAGGGACACTTGGGAACAGGAGGAGAAGGGTGGCTGAGTGGGGTGGCTGGATGGGGGTACAGGAACACATGGGGAGGGAGATGCGGGGATGGGGGAAGGGGTAGCTGAATGGGGGTGCAGGGGTGGACGGGAGGAGGGGCAGATGTCCCTGACTGAATGAGAATGGCTAAGAGTCAGCCAGGGTCTGCATGGGGGAGGCTCCCTAACAATCCCTCCTCCCCTCCCCAAAAACACACTGTTCCATACCCTCCCACCCACACCCAACAATCCTCCAGGCTCACTCCCAGGTGCCCACCCAGCAATTACTTCCCTCTCCCTCAGCTCCTCTGTTACCCCAACTCCCCCAAACCTTTGTACTGTTTCTGAAGGGTGCAGGAAATATGTTTCTGTATTGTAGTTTAAAGGAATTATTACTCAGAGTTCTGTATTAATGCGCCTAGTAAGGAATCTATTTGTCAAAACACATTTCCTGAATATTTTTTTGTTGTCCATATGGTTACAGACATACTTGCTGACAGGTATTTTGAAATAAATTACCAAAATAATTGAAACTGGCATGCTTACATAGTGTTATTTTGACAAATAAAATATGCAGAATTTTAGAATATCGTGCACAGAATTGCTAATGTTTTGGCGCAGAATTCCCCTAGGCATTGCTCATGCATCTGCCTTTCCCTCCAACGGCACAACACTCCCCACGGCCACTGACGTGTGAAACACCAGCAGTGCTCCTTGTGGTGGGGCCTGCTCCGGCCCCTGCTCACCTGTTGTACCAGTTAAAGAGCAGCCAGTTCATCCCCTCCAACTGGTACTCCCGCAGCTGGTTGCTATTCTTATAGTCCCGTGACTTCTCCAGTTTCTGCCAGAACTCGGAAGCGGGGCGCTCCTAGGAGGGAGAGCAGAGAGCATGACCCATGGAGAGGAACAGGCTAGTGCTCAGCGAGGTGTAGCCACAGACTAGGGACAAGGGACAATGCTGGGCTCAGGCCGAAAAGGGAAAACTTGGGAAAGAGGTTTCAAAATTATTAGCAAGCATCAGCTGATCAACAGCAAGGTCTTAGCTCCTAGATCCCAGCAACTGATTTTCCCCACCCCTAATGTGGGGGATCTGGGTCTCAGGATCAAAACTGCAGGGGGCTGCAGATCAGGACCAAGGGGCATCGGTAGCACTGTGGCGGGGGCTCAGGATCAGAACAACAGGGGGCTGCAGGGCCGGACTGAGGGGCATGGTAGCACTGTGGACAGGGCTCAGCACTGGAACTGCAGGGAACTGCAGGTCAGGACAGGGGCATCAGCAGCGCTGTGGAGGGGGCTCAGGATCACAACTGCAGGGAGCTGCAGGCCAGGACTGACGGAGCATTGGCAGCGCTGTGGAGGGGGCTCAGGATCAGAACAGCAGGAAGCTGCAGGTCAGGACTGAGGGGGCATTGGCAGCGCTGTGGAGGGGGCTCAGGATCAGAACAGCAGGGGTGGCAGGTCAGGATCAAGGGGCATCAGAAGCACTGAACCAGCACTGGTGCTAACAGGCCACCCTCTCCCTGCGTCACAGAGAAGCCGAGGGGTGCTTTACCACATGTTTGATCTCTGGTGGGATCTGCAAGGACTCGAACTCTTTGATTTTTCCAGGGTCAACGTCTTCCTCCAGCTCCCAGGTGCTCTCCTCGTACGGCAGCGAGCACCACTTGACCAGGTAGTGGGTCACCTCCTGCAGCGCAAGGAGAGGTGCTTCGGGATCAGGGAGGGGGACAGGTTCTGGAAGGTGAGGCCCAGGGGCCACACACTCTCTTGCCCCATGGGATGTAAGCCCCCAGCACACATATTCCATTAGCGTGCACACGCATGCGTGCCAGCCCATCTGCCTGCACATACTGCACACACAAAGACATGCATGCACACACGTGCATATGCGCCTGCCTGCACGCACACACACGAAGACATGCACACGCACATGCGCCTGCCTGCCTGCGCGCACACACGTGAAGACATGCACACGCAGGCCATGCAGGGATGTGCAGATCCAGATCTCTGCTCAATCAAAACCCGGCCCAAATATCCCCCTGCACGGGCGGGGCCGTCAGGGTTCAAGGTCTCCCCAGGCCCCAGATGCCAGCTGACAAGGAACACAACACACCATTCTCTGCAGGCTAGGGTGCTGAAGGATCAGTCAGGGACTCAGCGCCAGCCTCAGGGGGGTCTCTGCATTTCTAGCCCCCTGCTCCCAGCACTTCTCCCCTCTGGGTTTGCTGAGTCAGCCTGGCATGCTGAGTAGTACTTGGTGATAAATACACTGGAACCAGCACTCCTGAAACCCTCAGCTCCCGGCAGGTCCCATATACAGGCAAATAAACTTGCCTCCCCAGGGCACTTCCATTGAGCTCCCCCTGGGCACAGCCTCTGCCCTCCTCACTGCGCCTTGCTCCCCCCATGTCCAGATGAGGAGCAGCTGCATGCCAGGGGTGGCACTCACCTCCCCGGTGTCAGAGTCCTTCGTGTGAGCCACCTCCAGGATCCGATCCACCTCCACGTAGTCTGGGTTGAACAAATCCTCATCAGGCTGGTGCAGCGGGAGGAGAGAGAGCGACACATTCAGTTTGCCTGCTGGGCCGAACAGGTGAGGGTGCAAGGGATATGGTCCCAGGGCTCCGCAGTGCAGGGAGCACATATCGGAGCTGGCCCCTGCATCTGTCTCCAGGGAGCCCAGGGATGTGTCGGGAGGGCAGGCCCCTTGCTGCCCTAGAACGCATGAGGATGCTGGCTCTGTGCTGCCGCTGATGGGAAGGAATCTGCCTGAGCTCAGCTAGCAAGGAGCTCACACCCAGGGCACAAGCTAGCTCAGGGCCTGGCCCTGTGTGCTAGTGCGTCCAAGGGCTCCCGCCGACGAGCAGCCTGACACAGCCCCAAGCAGGCCTTCGCACCCCTCCCTGTCCTGGCAAACCTCAGCAACCCGGGTCACCTGCCAGACACAGCCCCTCCTGACTCTCCTCTGCCAGCTCAACACAGCCAACAGCCCGGGGCTGGCACCAGGCTGTAGGGGCCCTCACCTCCCCTGGGTCCCTCCACCCTTCCTGGCAGGAGCAAGCTGCAGAGGTGTCACCGCCACTCTGGCAGGCTGGGGGGAGGGAGGGGAAGGAGATCAGTTTCCTTGCTGTGCAGCTCAGAGCCGAGGCAGAGCATGGCTTGCACCCTGCCCGGGGTTAGGGGCACGATGCTCTCCAGTAGGGGCGCTGCGTCTGCACACTGGACAAGGGCTGGGAGTCGGAGCCCCTGAGGGTTTACAGCCATGCTTACAAAGACATGGCCATTTCCTCTAGGCTGATTTACACTCGCCAGGACATGGCGCAGGAGCCGCCGGCAAATATCTCTGGAGCGAATGGTAAATGCTAGAAAACGGCTTCCAATCTGCTCACAAAGCGGAGGGGGAGGGAGCAGCCCAGCGGGGCCTGGATGTTTATGGCTCGTTCTCTCCCTGCAACATCCCTGTGCCAGGAGATCTTGCTCACCCGCGCCATGAACAGGCACATTGCACAGATGAGTGCGTAATGCCAGAGGGCTCTCCAACGAGCCACGCTGCCCCCACTCCTGCAGCAGAGATACATCACGGGCTGCAAGAGGAGTGCAGATGCAGATGCCGCCCCATGTTATACATCTCCTGCCCCACTACATACTGCCCTGGCACAACGATGCCATACTCCCCTGCTCACACTACCCCACTACACACTGCCCTGGCACGATGGTGCCACACACCCCTGCTCATACTGCCCCGGCACATGCTGCATGCCCCTGCTCCCACTGCCCCACTACACACTGTCCTGGCACAATGGTGCCACACACCCCTGCTCATACTGCCCCACTGCACACTGCCCTGGCAAGATGGCGCCATACACCCTCTGATCAAAGTGACCGTGACCTGCTAATTGAGGCACGAGGTGCCCATGCCAGGGAGAAGCCACAGCGGGTTGGGTTAGCTCAAATGTGGACAAATGCTGTCCTGAGCCCTAAGTCTTTCCTTAGACAAACGTGGACTGTCAGTGGGTTGCGGGCAACAGGGCTGACAGCTTGCAGTCATGTCTGGCACTGTGGGGGGTGTCACTGGCCCAGCAGGCACTGCTGAATACCTCTCCCCCCGACCTGCCCCCCGTGTGCCTGGGCTGCTTTGAGGCTCCTCCTGATCATACACACCTGAGCCAAGGAGCAGAGCCCATCCAGTCTCCCCTTCACCCCGCTGGCACTGGGCTGGAGCCGGCAGCCAGCCCCAGGACTAGGATGAAGGCTGCCTGTCCACCTCCAGCTGGCCACTGTGCCTGCTCCAGGTGATGCATTGCTCAGAATGGAGCTGGGGCAGGTCGGGGTGAGCCAGCTGTCAAGCTGCAGCTCCTGCACTGTAACTGGGGACAGCTAGGCAGAGAGCATGGCATGCGGCAGCGCCCAGCCGGGGCTCACGGGCAGCACCAAGACAGCTCGACTGGCCCAGCTCTCCAGAGAGGAGATAGAAGTGCCAGCCGCCCGGCCATGGCCTCACCTCCGTGAAGATATGCTTCATCTGGGCCTGCTTGTTCCGAAAGCGCTTTATCTTCTGAGAGATCCTGGGGTCCTTCTCCAGCTCTTCCAGCGTCGCCCACTTGCAGTGCAGGTAGGAGCTGCGAAACAACAGGAAGCCAAACATGAAAGCCTGGTGGGTCGTGATCCCGTCCCCCTCCCAGCGTGGAAGGAGCCCTCAGTGACCCCCCACTGCCCTGGTTTGTAACACAAGGCCAGAGGCTGGGGAAACAAATGGCTCCAGTACAGCTGAGACTGAGCTCCATGGCCAAGGATCAGGGCTGCAGTGGCAGTGACTGTCTGTTCCTAACATCCTCCCAGGCGCATGGGCTCAGAGGGAAGCCCGGGGGAGAGGTTCCAAGCACCTAGCCAGAGCTAGCACGGCTGGTTTTGCAGCAAGCTGGCAGCCATCCCAGCAAGGTAGATGCTAGTGCGAGGGGAGCAGCATGGGGCACACACGTGCACACACACCTCTACACACAGTGCCTGGGTGCACACATTTCTGCACACAGCATGTGCTCATACACACTCTCCACCCAGTGTACGCCCACACATACTTGAATATGTGTACACACACCTCTGCACACACACATCTCTGCGCACCCCATGTGCATGCACACGCATACACTGCTCCACACAGCACTTGCATACACACAAGCATGCACACACCTCTGCACACAGCACATGTGCCAATACAGAACATAAACGTGGCACGTACAAGTTCCTGTACTTGACGTAGAATTCCTCCATCTCATAGGCCAGGCCGCCTGGGTGAACCTGAAACCAAGAGTGAGCGGGTTAGCACCAGCCAGCGCAGGGAAGGGGTGCGGGGCCAGGGACCTCTCCCCTGGTCAGGGCTCCGACTTCGCTCCTCTGGCCTGTGTATGAGCTGGAGACAGAACTGGAGCGCAGGAGACAGCAAAGAGGGGAGCTGAGCAGCATGAGGCTCGGGAAGGTGACGAGCGCTGCCCCAGCTCTAACTCGAGGTTTCAGTGGCCCTGGAGGGCCAGGAAGGTAACACAGGGACAGAACTTCCTCCACGCGCTGCCCCAGAATATGCTTCTGCAAGGGCAGCCACATGCCAACAGCTCACCGGAACCAGGCTCCCACCCGGCTCGACTCACTGCCTGACTGATGGGCGACGGCCTTCCCCTGCTCGAGGCTGGGTGGGCATCACGTTAGCCCCCGGGTAGCGCTGGGATCTACCACACCCCAGAAGTGTGGGATCCAGTAGAAGTTGCACACAGCTGGCACTGGGGACCCAGTACCTGCCCCTTTGGGAGGTGCGGGCTCTGCCAGAACTCTCTGCACACACCTTGTCCCACCCCCGCAGTCCAACCCCCTTCTCCAGAAAGGACAGTGTTCCCATCTCTGCCCTTCATGGAGATGCTCTGTTGTGAGGCTCCTCTGCTGGCCTCACCCAGGCCCAGCAATGGCCATGGTCAGCAGTCAGAGCCCTCCTCTCATCATGCCCACTGTATCCTGAGAGAGCCCAGAGCAGATGGTCATGGGAGGCGGCAGGGGCTGACTCCTGGGGAAGGGGGACTCCTGGTCAATGGGCTATGCCTCTTCCTTGGGGATGTCCAACCCCATCACAGTGCCTCAGCCCCTGGCGAGGTGGCCATGGGCAGCCATAGGGCCATGTCAGTATGCCAGAGCTGTGCCCAGGTGCCTCCCCTTTCTAAACACAGGAGGGGAAGGACACTCACCTCCTTCTGCACCAGTCTGGAGGCGAGGATCTTCTCAATGATGTTGGCATCATCCTCAGGGGGCTCCTGAGGGCACCGAAGGGAAAGCAGAGTCAATACCCTGGCCTGGTAGCACCCCCAGCCCTGTCACACAGAGCTCGCTGGCCGCCCCCCTCCCCTTCCTCCCTCTGGGCTCACAGCAGTGTGGGAGCCTGGAGTTGGCAAACAATGGGGGGGGCACCCCCCGGAATGTTCTTCATGGTCCCAGGTCAGGGGGATGAGAGCAGCGCCATCCATTGCTCTTCAGCCAGGCCAGGAGCAGCTTCAGGGGCCCCTGGATGGGGCTGCGATTTCCAGGGCTGCGTTTTGGACCAGGAGAGGGGATGCATCATCTCGGCACCCTGGCTCCTCCCGGTGGCACTCAGCTGAGGCTGCCCAGGCCCAGCCTTAGCCCCAGCAATGCCCAGCACCAAGGCACTATCTACTCCCGGCCACACACACGCAGGCGATGGCGCCAGCAGTACAGGGGACGGGGAAGGTGCTCTGCACTGGGGGTTGGACAGAGCCTCAGGGCCAGCGTCTGCCTGTCGGTGCACCAGCTCCAGCCTCTCCCACTGTCTCTCCCGGGGGCACGAGGGAGCCAGCAGCGCACACACACGCACAATGGGGGGCACCCAGGGGACACCAAGGCTGCACAGGCACGATACATGTCCTCTCCCACCCTGCAGTATCACTGGGGCAGAGTGTCCCAGGGCAGGGCATGACTCCCCCTCTCCACGGGGAGGGGCTTGTGCTCTGCGGCAAGGCTGGAGCAAGTACAGAAGCAGACAGCCAGGGAAAGGGCTTGAGGGAGGGTGTGAAAATACAGGTCACAAACTCCTGAGAGCAGGGCAGGTGGGGCACACAACTACACCAGGGTGAGCCCCACATAGGCGCGCCCAGCTACACCGGGGTGAGCCCCACACAGGTGCACCCAGCTACACCGGGGTGAGCCCCACACAGAGGTGCACAACTACACCGGGGTGAGTTCCACACAGGCGCACCCAGCTACACCAGGGTGAGCCCCACAAAGAGGTGCACAGCTACACCGGGGTGAGCCCCACACAGGCGCGCCCAGCTACACCGGGGTGAGCTGCACACAGGCGCGCCCAGCTACACCGGGGTGAGCCCCACACCTCAGGGCTGGCTGCATCACTATCTGTGCCACTCACAAACTCCCCATCTCCATCCCTGGGGGCATCATGGGGTGCAGCCATGCCCACTGCCTGCACACGGATGTTGTAAGAGCCTTGTGGGTGGGTTTTGTTCCTAGCCTGGGAAGGGCCAAGGTGCCAGTGGGTTTCCCTAGCCACAGTTGCCATGGTCACCTCTAAAATGCTGGATGTCAGATGGAGGCAATGAATGCAGCCAGCCCCAGTGGCCACAGCTCATCGGACCTGCTGGCATAATGCCGCAGGGGCGCTGGAGGCTTTGAGCCTTTGCACATAGCAACCCACCCGGAGTGGGGTTTTCTCCGGGGTGTGCTGGGGTCAGGCCACATTTGCCCTGCTCAGAGGGAAGCAGATGCCAGGTGGGACCAATGGGCAGCAGGAGCTTGGGCCTGTCAAGGCCACTTCCCTTTCCCGTTTGGATTTCAGCAAAGGATTTGCCAGGGTCTCTCAGGAAATCTCACTTGCAAGATCATTTCCATGGGCCAGACTAGGATCACAGGCCTGTGACAGTGGCCAAAAGAGAATCAGCAACAGAGAGAAAGGGCCGCACATCTCCCCTGGGAAGAGCAGCAGGGTCGCATTGAATAGCTCAGTAAAGGAGATGACTAATATTCACGCAGCAGCTTGGCTGAGAGCTGACTAAGGGGCACCTGACAATGGTACACAAAGAGAGGCTGTAATCAATATTGAACAGCTTTGCTAAAGGCTGGAGCAGGGAACGAGCAGCCAGCGCTTGACACTCACAGCAGAGACCCGGCCAGGAGAAGCTGTCAGCGTCAGCCAGGACAGAACACTGACACAGAAGGACCTGGAGAGAGTAGAGACATGGGCACCGAGAGAGAGTGGAGACAGGCACATCCGAAATGCCTCAGGACTCACCATGAGTGGGCAGCGTGCCAGACACAAGGTGATGGGGCTACAAAGATGGCGAGCACAGTGCTGGGCTGCAAACAGACCCCATACTCTGGAGCAGGGAAGCGACTGCCCAGTGCCGCATGGGTGGGCTGTGATCACATCCCCCACGCGGGGCACTGCATTGCCAGAGATGCCAAGAAACTGGAGAGGAGTCAAAGATACCAGCAGGCTGGAGACACTAATTTCCGCAGCCTCAGTCCTGATAGTTTAGTGTGGCTGGGGATGCGGAAGGAGGGACATGGCAGCAGCCCACAGACACCCCAAGGGCATTAATGCCAAGCAGGGAGGGGATCACTGAGTGTGGTGCCGGGGGCAGAGCTGGGAGGGTCAGGAAGACAGCCTCCCCTGGGAATAGTCTCCCAGAGAAGGGGCAGGGCAGGGCCTGCAGAAACAAGAGGGAGCTCAGGCCCAAGACCATGGGCTGGGAAAAGGCCCTTGCTGACCTGGCAGACCGACATGCTGGGGCTCTGGATGGTCCTTCTCATCTCTCAGCGCTAGGAGGTGCTGGGGTTGAACGCTTCACTTCCTGAGAGCCCCACGCACGCTCTGCAAGGAGACATGCTGAGCGCAGCTGGATGATGCTCTGGGCAGCTCTCACCCATCCTCCTAGGCACATGCACTGCCCCACACAGCCGGCTCCCCCTCGGACCCACACGCTCCTGCTTGCTTTCAGTACACAGCCAGCATCCCATGTGTGCCCCTCCCCCAATCCAGCAGAGCCCCACCCCCTCTCTACAGGGAGGGCTGGTGCAAGACAGGCTAGCGGGCCCTCCCATACCTCTGCTTGCCATGCCAGCGTAGACGCGGAGAGCGCGGAGGCTCGCCCAGCTCCCAGCACTGCTATCGTCTCGCCATCGTCATCCACCACTTTGAAATCCAGGTCCTCGTTGTACTTCCTCCGCTTCACCTGGCGGCCTGAACGGCGCTTCTGTGCAGTAGACAACACAGGCAGTCAGAGGGCTGGTGGACAACACCACCTCTCCCTCCCCATGGCCACGGGGATTCACAGGGGAGGGGAAGGTGCAGGAGGGGAGACAGCCCAGCCGCACCGGGGAGAATCCCATCCCCACCCAGGCCTGTGGGACAACGGTGCCTTATGCAGCAGACACTGCCAGGGTGCAAAGCTATTCTCACAGTGATTTCCGTCTCCGTTTCTCTTGGCTCTCACACAGGGAACTACCAGATATCAGATCCCGCCTCCCCAGGCCAAAACGCACAGCTGCTCACACACTCCCTGTGAACCCGCAACACGGAGCATGGTGTTTGCACCCACCATTCCAGCCCTGGGGTTCAGGGGCATCCATTTCGGGCCCATCCTGGTAGGTGTCCAGGGACCTCAATCCTCGGAAGCCTGGTACCTCTCAGGATTGGTTTATGCCACATGTTTTTCTAGCCTGGCTCAGAGGTGGCAGCGGAGCACCGAACACAGACCAGGGCTCAGGCTGGGGTGAGCACCGAACACAGGCCAGGGCTCAGGCTGGGGAGAGCACCGAACACAGGCCAGGGCTCAGGCAGGGGTGAGCACCGAACACAGGCCGGGGCTCAGGTTGTGGTGAGCACCAGGCACCGGCCAGGGCTAAAGGATGCTGGGGGATGGTGAATCCCCTGTCCAAATCACATGGGCCATCTCTTAGGGGACCCCAATGGAGAGCTGTGCCACTGCTGGACTGCAGAGGGAGGTTCTCAACATGACCTGTGCTCAGCACACCCTCCCGCTGGTCTGAGGAGCAAGGCGCTCCCAGTCCCACTGAGCTGGGGAGCAAGGGGTCAGTGGGGAACACAGCCAAGTGATATGCAAGGGCAGCGTGCTGGCATTAACCCTTACATTACCAGCCACAAACCTGGCCGAGGCGACTATCCACTGACCAACTGCTACCTGGATGCACTGAGCTCTGAGCTCATCGCACAGGCACCCAAATGTAAGAAATCAGCTGTAGGAAGTCAAAGCTGTGTTAGAACCCCAGGACATACAACAGACTATAGCCAGTTGAACCCACTGAGGCCACGGCCCTGCACATACCTGGCTGTCGGCCGACTCAGCAGACTCCTCGGGGCTCTGCAGAGATGGGCTCAGAAGGCCTTGATCCGATTCCAAACTCTCCACTGGGATCTCGTTTTTCCTTTTCCCTTTTTTCTTCTTCTCCACAGGGGTTGGTCCTTGCTCCTTGCTGCCAGGAGAGACTGACAGTTAATCCCTTCTCCAGAGATGTCAGAGCTCAGCATCCAGGGAGAGGCCAACAAAACCATTTGCTTTCAGTTCTTTAATCCCACTTTGGGGAGCTTCTGCATCAGGTCACCAGGATGCACAGAGGCCAGTGGGGAGAGCTCCCCTTGGGAGTGACTCTAGACTGTGCGCAAGGCACCTGGCCCCACAGTCACAGCATTCTGACCACGGGCCTGGCCCCATGGTCAGAGCGCCGCATGGACGTGGTCAGGGCGCCTGGCCCCGTGATCAGAGCGCCACACAGACGTGGTCAAGACGCCTGACCCCGTGGTCAGAGCGCCGCACGGAAGTGGCCAGGATGCCTGGCCCCGTGGTCAGAGCGCCGCATGGACGTGGCCAGGACGCCTGGCCCCGTGGTCAGAGCGCCGCACGGACGTGGCCAGGACTCCTGGCCCCGTGGTCAGAGCACTGCACGGATGTGGCCAGGACGCCTGGCCCCATGGTCAGCCCTTTCAGGGAGTGTGGTCCACTGGTCAGAGCAGGAATCTGGGAGTGATAAGAGGAGGTTGCTCATCTGTAACTGAAGGCTCTTTGAGATGCATGGAATACCCTACCTGTATTCCACTGAGGGTTCTGCGCATGTGCCCGGAGCTGGAGCTTTTAAAAGTAGCAGTGTCCGTGTCTGCACACACGCCCTTGGTTTCATCTGAGGTGATAAAGAGCGGAGCGGACTGACCGTGCCCATAGCTCCCCTTCTCCACCACAAATCAATCGAATCCGCAGCAGAGGGGAAGGACGGCGGGACTGGAATACAGATCAGGACCACACATCTCGAAGAACCACCCTCTTCTTTGCGTGACAGTCCCTATGGTATTCCACTGAGGGTGATTAACAAGCAGTACCTTAGGTAGGAGGAGGGTGTGAGGATGATGACAATGAAACCAGGAAGAGGAGGACGGCTGCGCCAAAGGAGGCATCCGTAGAAGAGTCCCACACCAAGGTGTAATGGGAAGAGAAGGTATGTACTGAACTCCACGTGGCTGTCCTACAGATGTCCATAAGGGGCACATCGTGAAGCACAGTTGCAGTTGATGCTTGAGCTCACGTGGAATGGGCCTGTATCCCACGCAATAGAGACAGCCCTGATAACTGGTAGCAGAACATAATGCATCCCGAAACCCACTTAGAGATCCTCTGAGCAAAAATCATTTGTCCCTTAATGCATCCAGTTACAGTAATAAACAGCCTAGGGGACTTCCTGAAGGGTTTTGTCCTCTGCAGGTAGAAGGCCAGGACCCTGGGGATGTCGAGGGAGTGAAGGTGTTGTTCCTCCACTGAAGCATGAGGCTTTGGAAAGAAGGTGGGTAAGTGTATAGGTTGGTTGATATGGAAACAAGGGACAACCTTAGGCAGGAACTTGGGGTGCAAGTGTAGGGAAACCTTGTCTTTGTGAAAAGTGGTAAAGGGGTGATCAGTCATCATGACCCCCAGTTTGCCCACCCATCTTGCAGAAGTGATAGCCACCAGGAAGGCAACCTTCATGGAGTGAAGAGAGAGAGCATGAGGCCATAGGTTCAAAGGGTGACTTTGTCAATGTCGTTAGGACAAGGTTGAGGTCCCATTGGGGAGTGATGGACTGAACAGGAGGATAGGTTCATAGGAGACCTTTCCAAAACCTGGAAGTCAATGGATGAGTAAAGACAGCGGCCCCTCAAATGGAGGGTGGAAGGCATTGATAGCAGCACTTGATGGAAGTGAGAGCGAGGCTGGATGCCTTCAGAAAGAGGAAATAATCCAGAATAAGAGAGATGTCCACATTTTCAGGGACAAGGCTCCTGCTTTGGGACCAAGAAGTGAAATGCTTCCACTTGGCCCCACAGGAGCATCTCATGGACTCCTTCAAGCTCCTCGAGAGAATGCCCTGCACTGCCAACAAGCATTCCCACTTTAATAAAGTTGCCCATCCAAAAGCTCTGAGGTGAAGAGTGTAGAGATTGGGGTGCTGGATCCATCTGCCCTGTTGCATGACCAGTTCCAGGAGAGGTTGTAGTGGGGAGCGCACTGACATGCAGAGAAGCAGGAGAAACCAGAACTGTCGAGGCCAGAAGGGGACAATCAGAATGACTGTCACTCTCTCCCACCTGACCTTGTGCAGGACTCACTGTAGGAGCAGTAGGGGAGGAAAGGCGTAATTGAACCGATCAGACCAGCAAAGGACTAGAGCATCGTCCTGGTACAGGACACCAAGACGGCCTCTGGACCACTATTAAGTGCACTTGCTGTTGGCCTGGGAGGCAAAGAGGTCCCTGATTGGAATTCCTCAGCAACTGAAAATGCTGGTGACTACAGTGTCGTGAAGATCCCATTCACGAACCTTCTGCTGAGAGAGTCCATGATTATGTTTTGAATTCTGGGAAGGTACGCCACCGAGAACAGGATCTTGCAGATGATGCACCAATCCCAAAGGCCTCCACCCAGAGTACAGGAGATCTCGTGCCCCCTTGCTTGTTGATGCAGTAGACAGTGGTGTTTTCTGACATGATGAGGACATGACAGGAATGGATGGATGTGAGAAACGCCCGACATGCTCTCCTCACTGCTCTAAGTTCCAGGATGTTGATGTGCATCCAGGACTCCCGAGCAGTCCAAGTGCCTTGAGTCATGCACTTGCTCATGTGGGCCCCCCATCTAATGAGCAATGCACCCATGATAATTGTCATTGAAGGGGAGGATGGGAGGAACAGTATCCCAGTGCACACCTGAGCCAGATCCGTCACCACTGGAGAAGGAAGAGGACTTCATGGGGAAAAGTGGAGACAAGGTCCATAGAAAGGTGCTGTGACGAAGTTGGGGATTTTTGTAGTGTTTTACATGACTAGTGTGTGCACACCTCAGTTTCCCTGTGTGCTGCATGTTTAACAAGGTGGTGAGAGAGGGTTTGTTGGTGCAGAGAAATAGGTGTGACCTTGCCTAGCAGCTGGGACCCCTGGATAATGGCCTGGAGATGGGGTACCCTAACAACTGGTGACCTGGTGACTAAGAGGTCCACCCCAACTTAGCAGTCAGTCGGTTCTGGCCAGTGGGAGGACCCTGGTGACCTGTTTACCTAGGACGGAAGACAAAGGACAGGGGAGGAGCTGTTGGGGAAGATGATATCGGATAATTGGCTGGAAGGAGGGGGCTGCTGGACTGGAGAGAGGGAGCAGCCAGAGCCCACCTGGATGCAGGAGAGACCTAGATGTATGGTGCTGACTAGGCCTGAGTGCCTGAAGAGTTTCCTGTGCTAGGTTCAGATGCTCAATAAACCTTTCTGTTTTACGCTGGCTGAGAGTCACTTCAGTCTAGAGATCAGGGTTGCATTATTCCCTCTGGGAGTGGAGGCCCCGGGGGTCCAGAGCAAGTGGATTCCCTGAGTGAGCCCGTTGCGAGAGACAGCATGCTGAGAGCTCAGAGAGGTGGGGTTCCAGGAGCCAGAGGAGCCTACGGCTTAACCACTGAGAGAGAGTGGACCCCCGAAAAGGTCTGTCACACTGAAGTGGATTCCTCCCAGGGACCGCACAGAGCCGAGAAAGAGCATGAGTCCTGTGAGTCCATGACAGGTGTGTAGGGGAATAGACCCTCTGGAGCCATAAGTGTAGGCAGCGAAACCGCAGATGAGCAAATGCAATCACACAAGTGCAAGTTGGAAAGAAGAGAAAGGCAAGTTCTGGCTGGGAAAAAAGGATTGAACAACACCCTGAAAATTAGGTCCTGAAGGGTCTGGAACCTGTCCTCCAGCAGTTCTGGACAAGCTGAGACCGTGTCGGTGCGTGCCCCAATGAACTCTAGCAATTACCTGGGGTCCAAAGTTCATTTTTCAATGTTTATGCTCACCCCCAGGGAGGAGAGGCGTGTGAGCAGCATGGAAATCGAAGCTCAAGCTTCCCTTCTTGATCGTGTCACCAGCAGCCTATCATCTAGATAAGGGAATAGAAGGATCCTTCAACAGCAGAGGTGGGCCACCACAACTGAGAAAACTTTGGTGAATACATGAGGAGCAGTGGATAGTCTGAATGGGAGAACCTGTACTGAAATTGATGATGATCTGCCATGAATATCACGAATCATCTGTGGGCAGGATGGTTGTCCACATGAAAGTAAGAGCCATAAACCATATATTTCTTTCTAGGGAAGAAATGATAGCCGCCAGAGTGACCATACAAAACTTTGGCTTTCGTACTAAATGGTTGAGATGACATAGGTCTAGGATCGGTCGCCACCCACCTGTCTTCTTGGGGACTAGGAAATAAGTGGAATAGAACCCTGCTCCCTGATGGGCTGCGGGAACAGGTTCTATCGCGCCTATCTGAAGAAGGAAGTCCACTTCACGGTGAGGATACTGTTGTGAGAACAATTCCTGAAGCGGAGGTCGGGGATGTGGACGAGGTAGTGTTTGGAACTTAATCGTATAGCCATGTCGAATGATATCCAGGATTCACTTGACCACTGTTATTGCACTTCAAAAGGGCAAGAAGAGAGCTAGGCGCCCACTGAAAGGGGTGGGCCGGGAGCACGCCATGAGGCACAGAGTTTGGCGGCTCTCTGAGTGTTCTCAGAAATAGCACTTCTGAGATGTTTGAGGGCAGGAGGTTGTGATGACGATTAACTGGAAGGATAGGACTGCTGGGTCCTCTGCTGTTTGTGAGAAGGCTCATAGGACCGTTGGAAACGTTGGGGAGCTTTGAACCGCTGGGTTGGAGGTGGACAGTAGAATTTGAGCTTGGGTGCTGGTGTGTAGATGACCAGAGACCGGAGGGTGGCTCTAGAGTCCTTGAGGGAGTAAAGAGAGTCATCAGTCTTCTGATCGAAGAGGTGAGACTTGTCAAAGGAAGATCTTCTATGGTGGTTTGGATCTCCTTCGGAAAGTCGGAAGAATGTAACCAGGACTCTCTGTGCAGAGCTATGATTCTATGACAATCCCCGTAGCCATCGTATGCGAGAAGTGTCTGCAGCTTCGTCCTCGCC